AGAACGTAACGTCGAGATCTCGGCCTCTGGCGAGTTCGCAGTTTGCCCCAGACCGTAACTCAGGCCCGAACCGTTGAAGGCTTAGGACTGGGCCCCGTGTGCCTGCTCATACCCATGCACATGGTGATTATCTGTGCCGAAAAATGAAGAAGCGAAGCAAATGCATGGTCAGACAGACAAGAAAGCGGATGGGAAAGTAGGACTAAGTAGGCAAAAGATCTCATACACATGTAACCATATACAAACAATCGACAGATCGATCGACTGATGTAGGCATAGTCAACAGATTCATTCCAAGACCTAAGGCCTAGGGCATTCACAGAAGTGCATATGCACACATGCATGCTCATGCAAAAGCCAACGAGCACAGACAAGTCCCCACACACACACACATACACACGTACTTTGTATGAACACACATACATTCGCACAAACCGATCGAAGTTGTTTGCACGGATGCCTGTGTGGCATGTGCATGGTGCGGCTTGCATCTATCTGTGTGCATGCATGCATACCACATGTGACCACAGAAGTACGAATTTGCATGCGTGGCAACATTCAGAGACATAAATTCATCCATCCATGTACCCACACCCGCGCCCACCTACCTGCCTACCCACCCAACCCCACAAGCCCACCACCCACCCGCCCTCCCACCTACAGAGGAACCATGTAGATAAAGGTACTCACTGGTACTACATGTATGCATTTGTAAATCTACGATCATCTACGCCTGCACATGCAGATGTACAGTTGCATACGCATGTCGATGCATGCACACAGCCTGCACATGCACAAACATCTATGCCTGTGCTGCACCTATGGCTGCTGCATGCGTGTATGGATTTGTTTCAGGCGTACGTCGATAGCTAGATAGCTGGATCAGCTAGATATTGAGATAGATAGATAGATTGTAGGTACAGAGAGATAGAGGAGGAGGGACGGGGCAAGTGCGGGCCTGGAGGATCTGGATGCAGCTCTCCTGGCGATTCTGGGTTGCGACGGCCAGCGGCGTCTGGCCCTGGGAGTTGGGCTGGGAGACCTGAAGAAAGTGACAATGTGACGATGTCTGACGAATGCAAAGCCAGAGATTTCGATCAGGGATGATAAGACGCAACATGATGGTATGTCATGCTCTTCTCCGAGGCGGCCATGTTGCATTGGCTCCAACTTTGAGGAGGTACTCCAGCAGCTCCTGCAGCTCTTCTGCGACACACAAATGCAAAATTGTCGGACCATCTGCGATACGATTTGCCAACAAGCTTGCTGCAGTGCTTATGCCGTACGCACTCCACTGCGAGAACCCCGCTGGACCTTGCGTCCGTAGCCAGCTGCGTAGTGCAGGCCACCTTATCTGGATCGCGTTTGTGCTCTGACTCCCGCTCGTGTTGCTGGACACTGCACCACCCGGAATGCTGCCGCTTCAAGCTCGCTGGATTCTCTGCCAGGAAGCTGTTGCCAGAGCTGTCCACTGCATAAGGATTGGCACGGCTGTCCTTTATGGTGTGCCAGTGGCAGAAAGGTTCAATTCAACATCAAACTCGCCCATACTCGCCCCACTCCCAAGGACTGAAGCGATCTAAGCCGAGTGTCCAAAAGTAGCTTCACAACAGCTATCCGGTTGGCTCCAATCGCGTAGCCAAGGGCGGTGATGCCCTGCTTGCGGCCACAGCTAGTCGCCAACTGCAGGGACCCGAATTTCTTTGCCTTGTGGTCCTGGGAGTCGAG